AAAATGCACAAAAAAGCCTCCGAAAAAGAATCCGTAGCTTTCCTGTTCCACCACCTTTAAATGCGCATTGATTTTCCAGGAATAGTCTCACTCGAACACTTTTCCAGCTTCAAAATTTCAAGTAAAACCGGATAGTTGAAAAAATATGAGTCAAAAACTAAAATTCGGAAATATTTCTACTTCACCACCTCTAAAAGCATCCTTAAAAAGAACAACACAACCTGTAATTAAAACCGCTACTTCTCCTTCTCTTCTTCCACTAATTCATCTATCGGGATATTCATAAATACACATTAACACACCTCTGTCTCTCTCTTTATTAGATGTAATGGAATCGGCTATTCCGGTAAAGTGACCACCCCCTTCTCCACTGAATCCAGGAGAGAGAGATCTCAATTTCTGTATCATATATGGAAAGGGGACAGATGATGGCAGCAGAATTTGTCACGGTCAATTAGGAACAGAAGGAAAGGTATATGCGGAAGAAGGAGGAGATGGTCAAAAAGAGAAATCATTTGAATTATTATGGGAAGAAGAAGAGAAGGCGGAAAGAAGAAAAAGTTCAGAATGAAAAAGTGAGGGCAAACAGTTCTTTACTTTGATGTTTGTGCCGAAATGAAATGAGAGAAGGCAATAAATAAAAATTTGTGGGGGATTCCCATGAAAGGTTATTGGAAACTGATCAAAAGTTGGAATTCTAGGTTTCAGGTGATTGCGTACTTGACATTGGATTCGACGACATTTCATGATTTCTTTGAACCTTGCACTTCTCTTTAGTAGCTACTTACAAATGGCACATCGACCCAATTGATGTAAACATTTTTCTGAATTTGCCAGATTTCAAAAACATTCTTTGTCCTTTCCAAAAATATTTTCGAAAAAGTTCACAAACCCTGCTCCAACTAATCATATACTGTAAAGTTCAATGGTTAATGAGCATCAATTGGTACTAGGCAATCGGCACCGTACCAAGTGAAAAACCATTAAACCATTGGAATTGAAATGGTACTTAACGATCAAAAAAGGTAATAAAGAGCACAATACGGATAATTACTTATGGAAGGAGAAGAATATTTTGTTCGAAAAAAAATGGAGCAATAAAAAAATGGGGAAAATAAAACAGTCCAAAAGTTCTTACTGTAGTCACCTGACTTTCAAGAATTGAAAAATTCCGTAATAAAAAGGTTCTCTGCCAAGAAAAGACCTAACTAACAACCACAAAAAAAGAAAAATCAGAACAACTTGTCATTTCCAGGAATGCGACAAAAAGTGAACCCCTCTTCTCCTTCCTAACACTTCTTTGTCTCCTCCATCTCCATAAATTTATGACCTAGAAAAAAATGAAAGGCGTTGAAACTTTTTTGCGTCCATCCTTGAATGTCCATCTTTTTTCTCCTCACTCCGATTTGTCAGAAAATGGCCGGTGGCAACGAATTGTTCTCCCGAGGGAGCCCCTCCTATTCCTGGGAACAAAAAATCTTAGGGGAAGAAGAAGCTTCTTCTTCTGAAAAAAAGTGAGAGGGGTCTTCCGGAGAAAGGACAATGAAATATGTGTTAAGATGAGAGGAAGAAGAATGATGGGGCGAAGGGGTCTCGAAAAGAAAAGAAGATGAATTTTTAAGTGCTTGAGGGAAGGGAAGAGCAAAGGAAGGAAAGAAGACTCTTAAATATAAAAGAAACTTTTTTTTGGAAGAGCTTTGCCTTACACAAAAAGAGCATCTTTTGTACTATTATCGGTTCAACAGGATTGGTTCTTAGAAGGTCAAAACTCTCAGAAAATGTAGAATTTGAGAAGAAAACACTATGGTCTCGTGTGGAAAGTGCACAATAGTACTTGCATATTATCCGGGAAAGAGAAAGGGATTTTGAGGTTACTGTAACTAACTAGGTGGTCATATTTTCAGAAGTACGTAGCATGCTAGTTCTGAAAACTTTTAAGCGAGTTGAAAAGAGAGCGCATAGAAGCTAGACTGTATGGCTTTTCTCTCTCTCTCTCTCCTTCCCTCTCTCTTATTCTAAAGCCGTCTGAAAATAGGTCAAAAACTACCATCATTTTCAAAAATACCCTACAAAAGACGCCTTCCTTCGATGGTAAATAATCCCAAATGGGCCGTGACCTACCATTCAAAAATAGGAAAAGATGATGATGAGAGAAGGAAAGAAATAAAAAATATTCCTCTACATAAATACTAAATCTTCAACAAAACCCCACTCTGAAAAAAAGTGTTTCATGGTGTCTCAAAGCCAGCGAAAAAAATCAGAAATGCATGAAAAAGCTCTAAAATAGAGGGGTGGGGACAGACTGACTGACCAGATGTTTATTCGGGGGAAAATGGAGGAGAAGAAGCAGGAGGAGGAGAAGGCGGTGCCTTTTCGGAAGACTGTTTTAAAAGAGAGGAAGAGACAATAATTATTGGTTCAAATTTAAAGAGGATGGAGCAACAGGAGACATGAACGGAGAGGTCTTTAATTAGTTCTTCGAATAGGTGTCAAAGCTTAGCAAAGTGAGAAGGGAAAGGAGCAATAATCTGATGCAAGGGGATCAGCTGAAATTGATTTTTTGGCGGGGAAAAGAGATCGATTCACAAATTTTTAAGATCAACAACTTGCTAGTGAATTTTCTCCTGCAGTCTCTAAGTCCAGTCAGCATACACCTTCCAAAATATTCACCTACTATTAATGGCTGACTAGCAACTTCTTCAAAAAATAAATACTAGTTTTCAGAATCACAGAAGCTCCCC